CCCAGGCGGTGAACCGCAGCTCCCCGGCCTCTGCGGAGGGGCAGGACGGGCGGACCCCGGCAAATACGGTAGCGGGCTAAGGGGCGCGTACTCCAGGCACTACGGCAGCGGCTCCTCCCTCGGCGTGGTCACGTCCCCCACGTCTCTCCTCCGCCGGCCGGGAAGAGCATCCCCGGGGGCTGCCGGCCACTTCCCCCGGGCCCGGGAGCCCCAGGCCCCCTGCCCAGCCTGTGCCTCCGGGGTCCGGCCGAGCCCGGCGCAGGCCACTGGCAGGCTGTGGGTCAGCGCAGGGGCTCCGGTGGCCTCGAGGAGGCGGCGTCCTCCACCGCCCGGGCGGCCAAGGGGTGGCAGGGGTCCCAGCAGGCTGCAGCTCTGAGTGGCCTGCAGGGGCTGGGCAGGCGGGAGGGCTGTGTGAGTCAGTGGCCATGGAATGGGACCCAGGCCTGGGCAGACCCTCGTCTAGCACCCATCTACGGGGCACAGCAGGCAGGGGCTGGGAGGGACCTGATCCTTGGCTGGACACGTGGGCTTGAAGCCGAGGACTCCAGGAGGGGCAGGGCTCGTCCCTGGCGGAGCCACAGGCCAGCCAACGCCAGGAGCCCCTGCACAGAAGCCAGGGCAGGCGGGTGAGGGTGGGGGCCAAGGGCGGCGGCCCCAAGGAGCTGCTGGCAGGAGCCTGGGGGGATGCGGGTGGCTCGGCCAGGGTGGCTTCTGGAGGGTGAGCCCAAGGACTCCGGCCAGGGTCCTGGGGAAGGCCTGTGGGCACCGCCCCGCCCCGAGGGGGATCAGCTTTCGGGGCACCGAGGCCGGGTTATTTCTGGGTTGCTTCACACGCTGTCCCAGAGGGTAAATGTCACAGAAAGGCCAGCCGCCCGGGTGCACAGGGCAGCCCGAGGGTGCTTGGACCAGATGACTAGCTGGGTGGGGACAAGCATCCAGGCCCCCCACAGGAGTTGCCCCCTCCGCCCTCCTGTGGACCTGCGGGCAGGGCCCTGGAGGCTGGTGCAGCCGGCTAGTCATGGGTGCTGCCTGGGACCACCAATGCCGCTGGTTCTGCCTGTCAGTTTATTCAAAGCAGAGACACCATGGCCACCCCTGGAACCTGGTGTGTGTGGGGGGGGATCCCTTGTGAGCCCAAGGACCTTGGCCATCGCTGCCGGGTCACGGCTCGGTAGACAGAACTGGGGGCAGGGGGTGGAGCCAAGGCCCAAGTCCACGGCCCCAGGGGACAGAAGAGTGGTGCAGGCACTGGGCAACTAGCTGGGCCGCCCACACTGCCCGCCCGTCTTCCCACACAGCCTCAGCAGTGGTCCTGGTGAGCTGGCAGGAGATGTGGGCTGCCTTTGGGGCTGGGGGGCTGGTTGGAGAGGGCATTCCACCTCTGCCTTGCACTCCTCTGCCCAGGTGCGAGGTGGCTGTGTGGGGGTGCAGGGTAGTCCTGGGGCTGGGTGCAGGTCCTCCTGAGGCCTGGGGCCTCCGCTGGCCTCATCAGGTGCATGGAGGAGGATTCCTGGCCCCTCCTGCCATGGCCTGGGGGCTCAGGCTCCCCCAGCCAGCGTGGACACGAGCAGAGCCCTGCTGCCCTTGGGGGAGAGAGCAAGGGCACCAGGGCCCCATCCAGACCCAGCTGCAAGTGGGAAGCGGCCTGGCACATGCCACCCCTAGATGCTCAGGGGTGGGCTCTGAGAGCCACAGCGGGGCAGGGAGTGACAGCAGGCCCACTTCTGGCCGGGCCTGGCTTCCGCCCACCCCTGGCTGACGACCCGCTGCCTCCTCAGGTGCTGTGAGACCAGCCCTCCTGGCCATGGGAGGAGCCGTGGTGGACGAGGGTCCCACGGGCGTCAAGGCCCCTGACGGGGGCTGGGGCTGGGCCGTCCTGTTCGGCTGCTTCGTTATCACCGGCTTCTCCTACGCCTTCCCCAAGGCGGTCAGCGTCTTCTTCAAGGAGCTCATGCGCGAGTTCGGGATTGGCTACAGTGACACGGCCTGGATCTCCTCCATCCTGCTGGCCATGCTCTATGGGACAGGTAGGGCCCCGGGTACCGCGGCCGGCCGGCTGGGCATGCGGAGGGCAGGGAGGCCCCGAGCGGTCCCCTCAGCCGTGGCCCTCCACTCTGCCCCCTAGGCCCTCTGTGCAGCGTGTGCGTGAACCGCTTCGGCTGCCGGCCGGTCATGCTGGTGGGAGGCCTGTTTGCGTCGCTGGGCATGGTGGCGGCGTCCTTCTGCCAGAGCATCATCCAGGTCTACCTCACCACTGGGGTTATCACCGGTGAGTGGGCCAGACGGGCAGGTTGGGCACCCTGACACCCATCTCCCCACGGGGGTCTCACTGCTGCCCTTCCCTCCCAGGCCTGGGGCTGGCGCTCAACTTCCAGCCATCGCTCATCATGCTCAACCGCTACTTCAGCAAGCGGCGCCCCATCGCCAACGGGCTGGCAGCAGCGGGCAGCCCTGTCTTCCTGTGTGCCCTGTCGCCCCTGGGCCAGTTGCTGCAGCACCACTACGGCTGGCGTGGTGGCTTCCTCATCCTGGGCGGCCTCCTGCTCAACTGCTGTGTGTGCGCTGCCCTCATGCGGCCACTCGGGGCGCCCCCGGCGGCCGGGAGTTCGGGGCCACAGCGGCCGGCCCGGCGCCTGCTGGATCTCAGCGTCTTCCAGGACCGTGGCTTCATCATCTACGCGCTGGCCGCCTCCATCATGGTCCTCGGGCTCTTCGTGCCGCCTGTGTTTGTGGTGAGCTATGCCAAGGACCTGGGCGTGCCCGACACGCAGGCCGCCTTCCTGCTCACCATCCTGGGCTTCATTGACATCTTCGCGCGGCCTGCGGCTGGCTTTATCACCGGGCTCCGCCGGGTGCGGCCCTACTCCGTCTACCTCTTCAGCTTTGCCATGTTCTTCAACGGCTTCACCGACCTCACGGGCTCCACCGCCAGCGACTACGGCGGCCTCGTGGTCTTCTGCGTCTTCTTCGGCATCTCCTATGGCATGGTGGGGGCCCTGCAGTTCGAGGTGCTCATGGCCATCGTGGGCACCCACAAGTTCTCCAGCGCCCTCGGCCTGGTGCTGCTGCTGGAGGCTGTGGCCGTACTCATCGGGCCGCCGTCTGGAGGTGAGTGACCCCAAGAGGAGACCCACGGCTCTGCCAGCCCCTGCCAGGCAGCGAGCCGGGGCAAGCCTGCCCAGGGGTCGGCTGTGTGGCGTGAGTCAGGGCCTTGATGGAGCTGGGCATTGGGTTGCCACTGAGGCTGCGGCCTTCTGGGACAGCCTGTGTCCTGGGCCAGGGGGTGTCAGCTGGTGACCTGGGCTTGTTGCAGGCAAGCTGCTGGACGCGACACACGTCTACCAGTATGTGTTCATCCTGGCGGGGGCCGAGGTGCTGTGCTCTTCGCTGGTGCTGCTCCTGGGCAACTTCTTCTGTATCAAGAAGCAACCTGAGGCCCCCCAACCCGGCGCGGCCCCCGAGAAGCTCCACAAGCCCCCGGAGGAGATGGGGGTGGATGCGCGGGAGGTGGAACACTTCCTTAAGGCGGAACCCGAGCAGAACGGGGAGGTGGTGCACACCCCGGAGACTAGCGTGTGAACGTCCCCCCTTGGGCAGTGCTCACGGCGATCCACACCCAGACCAGCTCGGGCGGCCGTCAGTCAGCGGTCACCCTGGCGGGCTTGCGGGGGAGGCGGCGGGGCAGGGCCGTGTTGTTCTGGAGAGCATCTGTGGTGGAGCCAAGCTGCGGGTTACGAGCTGACCGCACGTGCCAGCCGCCAAGGGACCCAGGAACCTTCATGGCTCCGCTTGGGGGCTTGTGGGACGTGTGCAATAAACCCGGGTGGGACCGGCCCGTGAGGGCGCTTCCCGGGAGCCCTGTGGTCTTTCGCCCCATCTCCCTCTGACGGCCCTCGCCCTGGGTTCCCCGAGTGCCACCTATTTCAGAACATTGTCTGCCATCCCCAGGGCATGGAGACTGGAGCTGGCAGGGCAGGGACAGAGCAGAGCGTGCGTCGGCCGGCCCATGTCCTGTGCTTACCACTGATGGCTGGGACGCAGGGCGCCCTGGCTTCCGTTTATTTGTGCTCTGGTCAGCCAGCAGCTCTGCCCTGTGTGGGCAGCACCCAGGGCTGGCCTCTGCTCCCTGTCCCACTCCGTCCAGTCCATGCTTAGCACTTGGCCTGCCCTGGGGCCGCCTCAGTAGCTGGTGCGTCGGGAGCGCTGGGGACGGCAGCGGACACCCTGGCGGGCCGTGTGCAGCCGGAGAGACGCCACATCCCTGCTCCTCTGCAAGGAAAAGCAAGGAGAGCTCACGTCGCAGCCTGCCTCCTGCCGCCCGGCCCCTCTCCCTCTACTCTGCCTGGCCATGGGGCCCAGGGCCTCAGACACACCAAGGCAACTGCCCAGTCTGCTGACCTCACTGAGGTTCTGCAGACAACCCACAGGGGCCCCCTGCTGTGGCCAAGGAAGGGGGCCGGAGTGGGAGGGTGGAGTGGGCAGTTAGAGGGAGGCAAGCACAGGCCAGGTGGACATGAACAGGGTCCTGGTGCTCGCCCACCCCACCCTGCAGATGGCCAAGTGACCCTGCAGTCGGGTTCAGACATGGTCAGGCATGTGCAGTAGGGTGGGCAGGCAGCCTTGTCCACCATGTGGGGCAGCATCCACAGCACATTCACTCTCCCCCCCACACACACGTGATGCCCCAGGACACACAGCCACCCAGGTTGTGCCAGGGCACCCTGGGCAAGGTGCCACAGCTGCAGTGAACAGTGAAGTAGCCAGCCCCAGTTGGAGGAGGGGGTTCAAGGCCCCCGGCGGAGCGATGACAAGCCTGTGTAGGGGTCAGCCATGGCTCCTGCCCAGCATGGCTCTGGCCTCAGTGGCCTCTAGCACCTTGACAGCACTGGCCCAAAGTATGCAGCACAAACTTCAGCTGGCAGCTGAGGTAACGGGCCACATGCTGACTGAGGGGCGCAGCAAGCACCAAGGCAATGAAGACCACAGGAGGGGCATGGAAGAAAGGTACAAGTCATTATGAATTTATTATTTACACAGTTGTTAAGGTACACAGATACAGTGGTAGTAAAACAGCTGAGACACCAGTTACCAACACACAGGCTGACGGCCTAACTACACTCCCATGTCTGGCTGGGCCCGACTTGAGGCGGTGGGGAAGGCAGCCTCGTGCTTCTCCCACTGGTCAACGGCCTACCCCAAAGCCACATGCACCAGACCAGGCTACGGTGGGCAGCAGCCCCAGCTCTGCATACCACACAATTCTGCCAACCCTCACACACGCCTGCTGGCCACTGGCCCCCACTTCCGGCTCCCCCCAGAGCATCTGGCTTGCCCATCATGGCAAACTGGGAGCAGGGCCTGTGGACAGAACCGCTTCTGCCTGGTGGGCCTTCCCTGCTGCTCAGCGCCTGAGGACCTGCGCCAGGACCATGGCCTTCTGGCTTCTTCATCTGGATCAGCACACAGGTGGCACTGCCCGCCCACACCTCTGGTGGTGGGTGCTCGGCGCACAGGTGCACGCGCAGACAGGTGACAGGACTCCTGTGAAGCAGCGCCCTCCCAGCAGGCGACGACACCATACAACGCACTCCCTGCCTGTCTGCCCTCAGTACAGAACATACAAGCCAGCTTTGTTTCACGGAGTCTTTAAAGTCAACCTCTTCAGACCGCAAAGACGGGAAAGAAACAATAAAAAGACAGGTTTCTTACACAGCTTGAAGCCAATAATTTTTAGCAAAATGATACAAAACTGTCTTAACCAAGTAGAAGACTGGTGGTTGCCGTGGGGGGGCCAGGCGGCTCAGACGTCTGATGGCACCAGGGTCTCCCATGGTAACAGTCCGTGTGGCCTGCGGTGGCCCAGGCGAGTGGCCCTTGGAGTCTGTCCATTTAGTCTGTTCTGCGCCCCCCCCCCAGGCGTCGCTGGGTGAGAGGCCTGGAGAGCTCCCGGTGCCAACCTCGGTGGAGACCGGGGGCGTGTCAGAGTACAGCCATTGGTAAGAGAGGACATCAGCCATGCATTGTCTGCCCTTCACAGCGACAAGGAGCCTTCTCATCGGTGCACGACAGACTGCAGACCACTGGATGCCACCCGACCGGGGATCTGTCGGAGCCAGAGAATAGGGCAAGGTCAGTGTAAGGGGCGTGGGCACACCAACAGCTGGATGGAGCCCCACCTGGACACCTGTGTCCCCAACTGAGAGAGACGTGTGCGGCCGGAATGCAGGCTCCGCAGAGCAGCGACAGAAGACGGAAGAGGCATGCAAGCAAGGGAGCCCCGGGACGTGGCCCAGTGTCCCTGCCCACGCGGCGCTCAAGAGAAACTGCGAGGCGGACGCCCGGCCATGCACTGACGGCAGAGAGGAAGTGACCGCGGCTGGGCAGGTCAGTACAGACAACAGCCATGTAGACGCAATGGCTGGGCAGAGACCAAGGCTGAAAAGAAACACAGAATGAGGACAGAGAGGATGGGCAGCCAGGACGGGCCGGGGCCCCGGGAGGCCGAGGCAGCAAGAGCTTCAGAGAACACGCCGACGCCAAGCGAGGCTCCACGCAGCAGCGGCCCAAGGATGTTGGCACGCGGGCACTCCGGCTCCACCAGCGGACCAGGGCGGGAGGGCAGCACTGGCTCTGGGAGGCCCAAAGCACGGCAGCAGGGCTCCTGGTCACTGTACCCGGAGGCCGGGTGGACACTCGAGCCCACGCCAGGAGAATAAGCGCAAGAAGCCGCCGCCGGCACCTGGCATGCAGCCACAGGTGGGTGCGGGGCGCCCACCCCCCGCTGCCTGCCGGGAGCACTCACCCAGTGCTGCCTTCCGACGGGAGCCGAGCAGCTACTTGCCGTGGTGTTCGAAAGGAATGCTATTCTGAGGTGGGAAGAGACAGCTGTTGGTGACTGCACCCACCCCTGCCGGCGCACCTGGCCTCGGGTGGGCCCACAGAGCAGCAGCGGGCGCCCCGCAACCAGGCCTCAGCAAGGCTTCCAGGTGGGGTAGCCCAAGCACACCACCCAGAGGAGGAACAAGTTGATGGGTACAGACAGTGTACAGAAGACAGGCTGCCGGCCCGGACGCAGGAGGTGGGCCTCGCGCCCCATGATGAGACTGACTAGCGCTGGATGCCCCGACAAGGAGGGGGTCCCAACAAGAGAGAGCCCCCGGAGCCTGTGGAGGCAGCTCCACTGGGACGTTGGCCCAGCGGTGTGCACCAAGCACCAGCACGCGGACGCACTGCGGAGAGGGGCTGCCCATGCAGAGGACACGCCCCCAGCACTCTCCTCCAGGAAAAGCCACACATTCTCCACACAGAACACGACTCCAAGCCACAGGTCACCAGGGACGACTCCTGGTGTGGCCACAAGGGGGCTGGGCCTGCTGAAGCACCTTGCCCGAACCCCAACACCAGACGCCGCCCAAGGCTGCGGGCTCTCTCCTGTGCCCTGCAGACCCTGTCCTGCAGGAGGCACCCGGTGCCATCCCCCACACGTCCTCGGCCTCTTTGGGACAGTGACCACAGGAAACGGCTCACTTGCGGCAACATCATCTAGTACATCAGGAATCTTCAGGGAAGTCACCAAGACAAGTGGCCTGGGCCCGCAGTGGTAGCCAAGCAGCTAAAGTCCTCACTTTGCACGTACCAGGATCCAATATGGGCAATAGTTCATGTCCTGACAGCTCTGCTTCCTATCCAGCTCCCTGCCTGTAGCCTGGGAAAGCAGTGAGGACGGCCCAGAGCCTTGGGACCCTGCACCCACATGGGAGAGACTCCTGACTCCTGGCTTCAGATCGGCTCAGTTCCAGGTGTTGTGGCCGCTTGGGGAGTGAATTGGGACAGAAGATCTTCCTCTCTGTCTCTGTTCCTCTCTATCTGACTAAAAAAAATAAAAAAGGCAAGTGGCCCGGGGCCAAGGAACTTCAGGGCCTCGTATGGGCGTGGGCAGCACACGCCACACCCCACGCAGGTTCCCTCACCCGGCCCGAGGTGGCAGACTATAAGCTATGTCGCTGTCCCAACCCATGACTATGCCATAGAACTGCAGGAAGCGAGAGCAACAAGGGCTGCTGGGAGGAAACAGCCATGAGAGCGAGACCCCGCAGCTGCCCCAGACGCCCGGGGCCTGCCCCAGGCGCTGTCCAGCCACACCATGCGGCCTCCGCACAGCGCAGAGGACAAGGCCATGTGAAGCAGGGACCCCAGCTGCTGGGCCCACACTAACCCTGAACGGGAGGGCGGGCAGGCGCTGTTTGTAGGAAGCAGGGCAGCGGCACGGAGACCCCAAGCCTGGCTCCGAGATGCACAGGCCAACTGAGGTGCCTGCCAGGAGCAGGGCCCTTCAAGTGGCCCGCCCCACGCTCAGCTGGCCAGGCCACAGCGCCGACACACGCACCTGTGAGGTGGACATGCGCGAGGTATCTTGCCGGCCCGTGAGGTCTGACGAGGAGACGTTGACCGGGGCGCCGCGGTGCAGCCGCATACTCACTTTCCGCTCTCGCTCCATGCCGGAGACAGGCCGTGGAGAGGTGTTGGCTGCGGGAGGACGGCCGGGGTGAGTGCCCCACTCTGGGCCTGGCTCCCGCTTGAGGGGTCAGCAGAGGGAGGCGGGCACGGCGTGGGGTACACTCACCCGTGTGTGAGGTAGGGGTGAGGGGAGTTGGAGGCGCCACCTCCTGGGTCCCCCGCAGGCGGCCAGAGGCCGTGGAAGGCAGGCCACGGGTGGCTGGATTCCGCGAGTGTCTCAGCCGTTCCTCTCGGTCCCGGCGCTCCCGCTCCGCGTCGTCGGCAGCCCGGCTCGCACCCTGGGGAAGGCCACGAGGTGAGCCCGGCACTGCTGCTGGCCAAGGGCCGCACACGGGAGCCGCCACTAGCGCGGGATGCAGGGTCTGTGAGGTGGCCACGGGATCCACGCGGTGCTGATGCTAGCGGCATCGCAGTCAGACTAGTGGGCAGACAGCCCCACCTTGTGTTCTGGGCTATTTAAGATATGCTCTGAAAGAGTTAGAGTCGCTCTGCAGAGGGCTGGAACTGCCAGCACCGGGCAGGCAGAGCTCTCTGCCAGGGATGTGGGGGCACACCTCCCAGCTTCCCCAGCAGCAAAAAGGAACCATCCCCACACAGGATGTCGGCCTCAAGGCAAAGCCACAGCACAGCCCCTTCCATAAGCGTGCAATAAGGGCTGGCACTGCCATGCAGCTGGGTGAGCTGGCACAGCAGCATCCGAGTGCGGTTTCAGCTGCCACACTGCCAATGCAGCTGCCTGCCCATGAGCCTGCAAGTGTAGAACACAGCGCCACGTCAGGGACCCAGGCAAAGTTCCGGGGACTCGGCTTCGGCTGGCCCGACTTAAGCCAAGGCCAGTCTATTGCCCTCTCTGCCTTCCAAACAAATCAATCTGTGAAAACAAACTTGTTCAGTATTTCTTTTTTTCTTTAACTCATTTTTATTTGAAAAGCTTGGCAGAAAAGACTGCCGTTGCCCCGCTGGAGACCCGGGCCCCTTCCCAGGCACACCCGGGGCTCCCACTGCGCACGGCCCTTCATTTCCACGCATCACAAACAGTATTACCGAAGACACGTGGCACCGGCTCAGCCCAGGGCCAGTCCGCAGGCACAGGTGATGGCTGCTCCAGCAGCCCCGCCCCCCGAGCCCCAAGCAAGCCCCACCGCGGGCGGCTGGCGGCAGCACTCACAAACTTGAGCATGTTCCAGTCGAACACGTAGTCGTAGGAGAAGCCCTGGCGGTGGAAGAGGTTCCGGAAGAGCTGTCGTAGGTACGAGTAGTCGGGCTTGTCGTCAAAGCGCAGGGAGCGGCAGAAGTTCAGGTAGGTGGCAAACTCCGCTGCCGGACAGACACGGGGCCACGGTCAACCCCTCTCCCGCCGCCCCTGTCCCCACACCGGGCCAGCCTGGACGGCAAACCACACAGCGCCCTTTGACCAAGCTGAGGGCCCACTCACTGCAGACAGCCCCGGCCCAGAGCTGCCCGTCAGCCACGCCAGTCCTGCCTCCGGGGGCTGGCCCCCAGGTGCACACAGCCCTGCGCGCGTGCGCGCGGCCTCCGGCCCACTCACAGGGGTAGCCTTTGCACAGCACTTCGATGGGCGTGGACATCTTCTTCTCGCTGATCCGCTCGTACTTCTGTCTCTTGGTGGCCGCCTTCAGCCCCTGCCAGGGCAGAGAGCCCAGGTTGAAGTACATGAGCACGTAGCCCAGGGACTCCAAGTCATCCCTCCGAGATTGTTCTAGAAAGAAAAGGGAAAGCATACACGTCAGCTGTGTGCAGCCACTCCAGGCCAGAAGGACCACCCGTCCACCCACCTGCCAGGCCTCAGTGCCCTTGGAGCTGGTCACCCCCCGCGCAGGGCTCACCGATGCCGAGGTGGGTGTTGATGGAGGCGTACCGCGCAGTGCCGGTGAGGTTCTTGTTTTCGCGGTAGGGGATGTGCTGGTGGGTGCGGGCGTCCCGGTACTTCTTGGCCAGCCCAAAGTCAATGATGTAGACCAGGTTGCCCTTCTTGCCCAGCCCCATGAGGAAGTTGTCAGGCTTCACGTCTCGGTGGATGAAGTTCTTGGAGTGGATGTACTCAATGCGGCTGATCTGCAAGGCCAGAAGGCCCAGCAGCAGTGAGACCCCACAGCCAGGGAGGCTCCCCAGCCCTCGGCAGCTCCAGGATGAACAAGAGTGGCTCCCCCTCCCCAGGACTCCTCAGGCTTCAGCTACATGCTCTCAGAGGCTCTTACAGGAGTGGACACACACTGGTCTGCGCCCCCCAGTCCAGAGGCCCCTGCAAGGGGGGTGCCACCCGGGAGAGCTGCTCGTACCATCTGGTCAGCCAGCAGCAGGACGGTCTTGAGGCTGAACTTCCTGGAGCAGAAGTTGAAGAGGTCCTCGAGGCTGGGCCCCAGCAGCTCCATGACCATGACGTTGTAGTCGCCCTCAGCGCCGCACCACCTGATTGTGGGGATGCCCACTGGATAGGGAAAAAGCACAACACGTCAGCCCAGCTCCCAGGGCCGGCTAGACAGGAAGGTCGGGGAGCCAGGCTGTCTGCTCTGCCTGTGGTGCAGCTGCTTGCAGAGCTGCACGAAGCCCACCCCCCATCCCACTGGACCCCGGACAGCGTTCCTGGGAGGGCAGTGGAGAAGGCCCCGGAAGGGGAGTGCCAGGCTGCAGCCATGGCAGTTAGTTACTTGTGGAATGAACCAGCAGAGGCAAGACATCTCTGTGTCTAACTGTGTATCTCAAATAAATAAGCAAGCAAGCGTTTAGGAAAATAAAAGCTAAGTAAATAAATAAAAATACAGAAAGAATGAAAAGAAAACAAAAGGAAAAAGGAAAGGAAAGGAAAAGAAAAACAAGCAAAGCAAGCCCAGCAGTGCTGGCTGTTAGAGATGTCCGTGACACAGCGCGCACGGAGCTGATGGGACAGACGACGGCCGGGAGCACGGGAGGGAGGCAGAGCCACCACACCACCTCCCATCCACGGGGGCAGACGGGGCCTGGCTGGAACCCCAGCTCTGCTTCCAAGTTCCGGGGAGGCAGCACCAGGGCCCTGCCACCACACAGGGGACCTGGTCGGGAAGCCCAGCATCAGACTCCAGCGGGGACGGGAGCAGTGCCTGCGGCTCTCTGCTCTCCCTGAAGCCCACTCTCCAGCCTGCAGTCCCCTCCCAAGGCAGCGTGGCGTTCTCACAGCACAGGGACCCAGTTCCACAGCACGCTGCACACGCACCATTCTCCGCGGGCCAGGCGCAGTGTGGTCTTTGCACCCTGCAGCACTTCTGGCACCAGCAGGGAACGCGCCTGACATTTAAGCACAGGCACACACCTCAGGGCAGAGAGTTCAGCCACCACCTGGGTCACCTGTACCCATCCTGGATGGCTCATGTGAGTCCCCACCTCTCGGTGCTCTAACACAGCTTCCAGCCAGCGTGCCAGGGAAATGGCAGAGGCTGAGCCCAGGCCCTTGCGGGAATGCAGACGCCATGTCCACCTCCTCAACTTCTCCTGGCCTGGCCCTGGCTCTAGGGCACATCTGTGGAGTGACCCAGGAAACACGTCTGCTTCCCTACCTCCCAATCCATAAATAAATCCTTTAAAAAATGCTTCCTCAGTTCAGAGTCAGAGAGATGCTTTTTTTCCTTTTTAAGAAACTTAACTGAAAGGCAGAGTGGCAGGCAGGAGGCAGGGACACACTGTCCATCTGTTGGTCCCTTCCCAGATGGCCGGGCACGTACAAGTATATCCGGGGCTCTCCCACCAGTGGCAGGGGCCCTAACTGGCTGCCTTGCAGCAGAGCGGGCGCAACACACGCCAGGGCACTGCTGGCAGTGCCTTACTGGGCTGCGTCCCCATGCAGCCCATGTCCACCCTGACAAAGTCAAATGTTCAACGCCGTCCCCCATCGTGTCACCACAGTGCCAGTCACTGGGGACTAAGGCAGTGTCCAGTACACAAGGAGCAGGAGCCCCAAATGCTACAAGAGGAGGAAGGCCCATGAGGTCACTGCAGGGGCCAGTGTTGCAGCACATCACATTATACCCCTGTCCACAGCAGGAGCAGCTCCTAGGGAGGCAGCAAAAACGCCTGCGGTTCTGCCACCCGTGCAGGGGCAGGCGGGGGAGCCCCGAGCTCCTGGCCTCAGCCTGGCCGGCCCAGCCACTGTGGCCCCCTCACGGGGTGAACCAGGGTGCTTCCAACTTTCAAATAAACACCCACACGCTATCGGTCGGCAATCAGGCACAGGGGTGAGACCAGCAGGACTTTCCACTGAACACCAGGTCCCGGCAGCTCGGCTTCCCATCCAGCTCCCTGCTTACGGCCTGGGAAAGCAGAGGACGGCCCAAGGCCTCAGGACCCTGCGCCCGTAAGGAATAGCAGGAGCCCCGGGCTCCCCGCCCTGGCCTGGTCTAGCCCCTTTTTCGGTCTTCCAAACGGCAAACACGCCTTCTTTCACAGCTGTACCTTGAAAGGCAGGTCAGATCTACTACATGTCCTGTGGGACCACAGCAGGAGCCGTGTGAGGCAGCAGCGTCCAGGTCACCCAGAGGACCCGGACAGCAAGGACAGCAGTGGCGGGACTCAGCCTTGCAGGGGCAGCCTGTGTGCCCAGCTGGCGGCTCTGCCGCTCACCCAGGGAAGTGAGCTGCTCCTCTGTGTGGGAGGTGCCCAGGTCTGCCCACAGCTGTCCCAGGCCCCTTCTAGGGGCAGGCCACACATTATCTAACTGCAAGAGTCAGAGTCCCTGTCCTGCAGAGGCCCTGGTGACTCAGCGATCACTGCGCTGTCACTGAGCACAGAGCAAACTGCAGAATGGGTGTGGCTGCCTCGTCCCTTCAACAGTCCTCCGCCTGCACGCGCCCCAGTGGGTGCCAGGTTGTGTTCCAGCAGCTCCACTTCCCATCCAGCTCCCTGCCTATGGCCTGGGAAGGCAGTTGAGGCTGGCCCCAGACCTTGGGACCCTGCACCCGCCTGGGAGACCCAGAACAAATTTCTGGCTTTGGGTCAGCTCAGCTCCAGGCAACGTGGCTAATGGGGAGTGAACTTGTGGTTGCAGACAGAAATCTTCCCATCCCTCATCTCTTAAAAGCCCACAGCCGACCCGAATGCTGCCTGTGATGTGGCGTCTCACACCGGAGTGGTCCAGACGCCTGCCTCCTGCCACCCGTGTGGGAGACCCAGGTGGAGTCCCCGTGGCTCCTGGCCCCAGCTGGCCCAGCCTTGGAGAGTGAACCAGCGGAAGGAGGTTCTGTGAGAGCCGAGCCTTGGCCTGGCTCCCGCCTGCAGCCCCGTGCCCACGCAGCCCCCTGCCAGGCAGCAGAGACGGCTGAAGCCTAGCTCCACTCCAGCTGACACTGCAATTTCGGGAGTGAATCAATGGACCGGGGCCATCTATCTCAAATAAACAAACAAATTTTTTTTACCATATTTTTAAAGTGACCTTTAAGCCTAATGCAAGTCAACTTCCTACAGGACAGGAGTCAGGTGCTGTGAGAGCGCCTGGTGAGGCCTGCCATCCATGTCACAGAGCCACACGCAGCTCGGGCCCCTAGTGTCAGCCTGGCCAGCCGGGAGTGGACAAGCAGACAGAACACTTGCCTACTGCTACTTTTCAGATAGACTGAAGTTTAAAAAAAAATCATTTTTTAACTTGCCTGTGACTCCCGTGGCTAATTCCACTTTCCCTGAGTTTTATTTGGCGTGGAGGGCACGCTGCTGACAGCCCATAGGCTCCAGCAAGCCACGCTGCACGGAACTGGCCAGCTAGCTGCAGCCCACGAGGCGGAGGGGCAGACTGGGGATCGCGGCACGCACACAGTGACCCCAAAAGCCACGTGCCAGAACAGCCTTGGGTGTGGACAGCTACTACCTACCCCGACGTGGTCAGGGCTCCAAGGAGCTCGGCCTTGCCGTGAGCGTCACTGCCCCTACCAGGCCTGCAGTCCAACACAGCGGAGGAACTGGAAGACGCAAAGGGCAGCAAGGGCAGGCGTGTTGCCCACTCTCCTGTGTGAAGGCTGTGCCAGGCAGAAGCGCCTGCACCCACGGCAGGGTTCTCACTGACAGGTAAGCAATCCTGGGGTCCTGCCTGGTGGCTACTCTGTCCCAATAACCAAACTTGAACCTTGTGCCCCAGGACTGTGTACGGGTGGGGACAACTGGGGCAGACCTGTGCCCCAGTCCCCAGACATACCTTGGCCACTCAGTGCCACCCAGGAAGCCCTGTCACAGGCAGAGTGCGGGGCGTGTCAGCAGAACCCCGTGCCTGGGGTGGGACTGGGCTCCACCGGCACACCGGGAGTTCACTACCTACGAGGCCCCCTAGGGGACAGGCACAGGCACAGGGCTCTGGGGCCCACCCGGCCTGCACTCCCTGCAGTCTCCCAGGAGCATCGCCCCAGCAGGAGACCGTTTCCACCAACAGAGCGCCACACTGCCAGGGAGGAAGGGGGCCATGGTGGGGGGGCCCTGCCCCCCTGGCCAGCCAGCCATCTGGGCTGAGGGCCCCTGCTCCCTGATGTTTTTTGTCCTACAGCTCTTGTGTATGTGTTTGCGAGGCAGAGAGAGGAAGGCAGCCTCAGCCTTCCCCTCTGACTCATAGACTGAGCCGGGCTGGGCCAGAACCAGCAGGTGCCCAGCACCTGGGCCAGCCTCTACCACAGCACAGCTACTCGGGACAGTCCTCTGCACCCCTCCCGGATGGGCTGGTCACCAGTGACAGGATCCTCCACACAGCTGTGTGCGCGCCCCTCTCCCCAGGCAAGCCCAGCAGTCCGGCCATCCACCAGCAGCTCCAACCAGCTCCTCCCCCTCTTGTGCACAAAGCCTGGACAGGTTCCCTTCCACCCTAAGGCAGCGAGGACAGGGTGCAGTGCCGCCTGCTCCCCGAGGCCCTGGGGAGCAGGGCTGGGGACCAGGAGCCTGGCCAGGCCCGACCTCTCCCTGCGACGCACCCACCTCCACCCTGCATCATCTTGTAGATCTTGCTCTCGATGTGCAGCTGCGGGTGCTTGGTTTTGACACACTCCAGTTTGATGGCCACTTCCTCTCCTGCAGCGATGTCCGTGCCTGGGCCACAAAACAAAACCATGGGCTTCAGTGCTCAGCCACTCTGCAGCACCCAGGACACACCACCCCAGGGCGTCAGACGGATTCCTGCGGACAAATGCCCCCACTTTCGCTTTCTCAGCCAGAAGCCCACCCCAACACCGCCTCAGAGCCCAGCAGCTCCGTAAGCTAGACCAGAAGGGGCTTGGAGGACGTTTGCTGGCGGGCAAGGTGCCACGCAGCACCCTTGCATCACACACTGGAACGGCAGGGCTCAAGCCCCGCTTGCAGCCAGCATCAGTGCCAGCTTACAGCTGAGTCTGTGCCACCAGCAGGGCAGCCTGGGCTCCTGGCTCCAGGCCCTCAACCAGCCCCCACTACTGCAGGTGCCTCGGGAATGATCCAGTGGCTGAGAACTGTCTGTCTCAAATGAAAGTAAATCTTCATCAAGGCAAGAGCAGACTCATTTCTCAGAGCCGGGGCATGGAGGTGACACAGCAGCCATTGCTGGCTGGTGTCTGGGTCCCCACCCCGCCATGGTAGCCGTGCCAGGCCTGATCTCTCTCCCGCAGGGTCCCTCCAAGGCCCCCAGGAATGCTGGTATTCCCAGAAGTATTCACTGAGGCTCAAGCAGCCCAGACAGAACTGTGCACAGACCACAGTACAGGCCAAGGAGCCTGCGGGGAGGGATCTCTGCCTGCATCCCTGGGCGCTCCTGTTCACCACGAGCCAGGGCACAAGCCAGGAGCAGGTGTGTACAAAGCCCTTGCAGCAAGCCTGGGCCCTGGCTGCAGTCCTACACGACCAGGATGGCTTCAGCCTGCGGCCCGCATCCCCAGGAAGGGTGAATCATCCCTCCTCCGTCAGGAGCTCCCTCGGGCCCCAAGTGGGCCAGCATGACCTGCAGGGGTAAGGCTGCTGGCAGCCGACGTCCACTGCGAGGACAGCGAAGAGCCCACAATGGTGCCAGCTCGGCTCTGGCACCCGGAGTGTCCCACCTACCCCACACCAGGCCATGGCCGGGCCACCATCAGCCTTTCCCAGGGCCCCCCAGGGAGGGCTGTCCAGCGCGTGTGAGGACAGTTTCTGTCCCTGGGCCAGCAGCAGAGCCTTGTGCTGTGTGTCACGTGGACTACAGCCTCCCCCAGGTTCAGCAACAGAACTTGGACTCGCCGGCCTGCAGCTTTGCACAGCCTCCCTTCAACAGCACCCAGGCTCAGGAGCAGCCGGATGACACCTGGTGCCACTCACACCCTCTTCACCCCAGAGGAGTCCTCAGCAGCTGGTGGGTCCCACCACAGCGCAAGGGCAGCTCGGCAGGGTCTCTCCCAGCAGCCCTGCCCTGCTACACAAAGGAGACAGAGGGTCAGCAGCCGCGCCCCTCCCACAGCCAGCCAGGAGGAAGCCATCTGTGCGCAGCTGGGCAAAGGTCACCTCGTGGGGCAGACACGGGACGTGGAGGGCAGGGCGCACCATCTGGGGAGATCACGGTGGACGTCCACCCAGGGACGGGTGAAGGACAGATGCCTGCAGGACAGCCTGGGACAGAGACCCAGCTGCCCCACGCCTCTGGCGCTCAGCTCGCACAGACATCAGCAGCTGACCCCGTCCACACCTGTCCACACTTAACAGCACTAGCTATTCTAAGAGGTCAAAGGCCCAGCAGCAGCAGGCGACACACACACACCTGCCCACTGCAGGTGAGTGGCCCGCCACGCCCTTCCCATCGGCAAGCTTAGGGAGAGGGCCTGCGCTCAAGTTCTTGGCAGCCCAAGCCGAGCAGGGACACACTCCGAAGGCCAGACACTGGGCAAAAGGCAGAATGCTGCCCCCGCCCTGCCCTCCGGCCCACCTGGAAACTCGGGTGTTCGCAGCACCGGCCCACCTTAAGATGAGGCCACAACCCCTCAGCTTCCAGCACAGACCAAAGCAGAGTGCAGGCCCCCCATCCAGGGCCAGCGGGGTGCTCGGCACGGGCGGCTCCCGGGGCCAGCTGCCAGGGACCAGGGACCAACTCGCGGCCATGCTGGCAGGTGACCCAGGACAAGCATTTCAAAGACATCCCGAGAGCACGTCACTCAGCGGACCCGGGGCCCCCGGAGTCCCAGGCCGGAGCAGGAAGTCGCTGGGACACACTGCAGCCAGCCCCCCACCAGCCAAGGCACCCCGGCACCTTCTGTGGCCTGAACCCCGACCAGGTGAACAGCCACCTCCAGGTGCCCGCAGCGGGGGCCCTGGCAAGAGCAGAGGGCACCCTGCAGGCCCTCCAGGAGGGGCACGCCACCTCCAACTCCACGCTGGCCATCCTGAACACCCACCCGAGACGGGGACACCAGGGACCCCGGCGCCTAGAGCAGGGCCACGGCCTTTGTTTACCAAGGCCCCTGCCTGCTTCCAGGCCCAGTCCCACTGCCCCTGCCTGCCTACATCCTGCCTGCTGCCCCTCGTCCTGTCCCCACGTCCAGCCTGCCGCCCCTCGTCCTGCCCCTGCCCCTCATCCTGCCCGGCCCAGGCCCTGCTGCCCCGGCCTGCCCGCTACCCCCCACGTCCAGCCCTGCCCGGCCCACCTGCCTCCCGTGCTGCCCGCTGCCCCCGGCCCACCTGCCCGGCCCAGGCCCTGTTGCCCCCGGCCCACCTGCCCCTCGTCCTGCCCGCCTGCCCGGCCCAGGCCCACCTGCCCCCTCCGGCTCCCGTCCGCCCCAGCCCGCCCGCCGAGCGGCCGTTGGCCTCGGGGTCCCCGGCGGCCGCGGGCCTCACCGAGATAGATGTCTCCGAAGGAGCCGCTGCCGATCTTGCGGCCGAGCCGGTACCGGTTTCCAACCCTCAGCTCCATGGCGGCCGCCCGCTGCCCCTGCCCGCCCGGCCGCTTCCTGGGTCTGCGCTCCGGAGGCGGCGCCGCTGCGGGTCGGCTCCGGCTCCGCCCTCACGGCCCCGCTTTCACCATCGCTTTCCGGCCGCCCGCCGCTCCCAGCGCCTCAATACGGGGCGGAGGGGACAGTACGAGCGCCGCCGCCCCTGCTCCGGCCGCCGCCGGCCCCGCTCGCCCTCTCCCCGCCGCGGATGGACTCGGATCTTCCGGGCCTAAGTCCCCTTTCAGCCGCCTGAAGGAGCCGCCGCCATCGCGCTGTGACGTCACTTCCCCTAGCAACCGGAGGGGCGGGGACAGGTGGGCGGAGTCTCGCGGTGGGCGGGGCGAGCGCGCTCGGGCCCCTCCCCTCGCTCTGCACTCAGCACCCCGAGACCAGGACAGGGACAGGGACCGGGACCCACCCCAGCAGACCCTGCACCCCGGGAACGGGACAGGGGCCGACCCCAGCAGACAGACCCTGCACCCCTCACCCTGGGACAGGGACAGGGGCCGACCCCAGCAGACCCTGCACCCCGAGACCAGGACAGGGACAGGGACCGGGACAGGGGCCGACCCCAGCAGACCCTGCACCCCTCACCCTCGGACAGGGGCCGACCCCAGCGGACAGACCCTGCACCCCTCACCCTGGGACAGGGACAGGGGCCGACCCCAGCAGACAGACCCTGCACCCCGCACCCTGGGACAGGGGCTGGTGGGAGGCCTCCCGGTGGAGGACCCACAGGATGCGGGAGGTGGAGCCTATTCCTCCAGGCTGGCCCTGGGGCATGGGCGGGAAGCAGGCAGGGTGCGGCTTGGGTGCCCTACACTGAGTCAGCCTTTATCTCATCTTCCTGGAAACAGGACCAGGAAGCTGAAGTTCGGGCCGCAGGGGCTGCCCCAGGAGGTGACCTGGGGTGGGCGCTCCCTGCCCCGGGGGCTTCAGGAAGCTCTGGGACCTGCCAGCCAGGAGGGCTGGAGAGGAGAAAGGCCCAGTGGGGAGCCAGTGGGATGGGAGCAGGCCACTCCACTGCAGGGCAGTGCACAGTGAGCCCCCCACTGCCTCAAGGGCTCACAGCTGCCCCCAACAGACCCCTGGGGCTTCACGGGGTGGGTGGGGCTGTGTGGGCCATCCACACCAGTCAAAGACGGCCTGGCGGGCAGGACGCCACTGGGGACCCCTGGGCCCCTCATCCTTGCTGGGGCTCACCCCACGCACCAGAGCTTCCTTGCCCCCTGCCTGGCCACCCGCCAGGGAGACCTGAGGAGGCTGCCAAGGAGGCCCATGGCAGGGCCACCCTGTTTCGAGCCCTGCCTCCGGGCCCCCACTGACCCCAGCAGCTGCCATGCCTGCACAGTTGGATGCTGCCCTGAGCCCCGGGAGTGACTGGCACACATAAACACTGTGGCACAGGGAGCAAGGCTGCCCCCTGCAGTACCAGCACCCCACACATGCTGGTTTAGTCCTGGCTGCTCCACTTCCCATCTGGCTCCCTGCCAATGCACCTTGGAGTCGCCATGGCTCAAGTGCCTGGGCACTACGCGCAGGTGGGAGACTCAGGGCTCCTGGCTTCAGGCTGGCCTGCTCTGACCTCTGTGGCCATCTGGGCAGTGAGCCAGCGAATGGACGATCTCTCCTGTAACCCTAACCGGACAGGACAGAAGGAGACCCCAAGCATAAGAGCCCTGCAGAGGCTGGGCGTGGACTCCTTCTGCCCTCACACCCCCCACGAGGGTCCTGGCTGGGAGCAGTTCCCTGCCAACCCACCTTCCACCAGTGCCCCTGGGGGTCTTCCAGCTTAGAGCACATGCTTAGCACCTACAAAGTCTCAGCGGCACTGGCAGGCCACGGCATGTGAGAAGAGCCCTGGGGTGCAGCTGCGGGGAGCGGGGCCCAGGCGCCAGAGGCAAGCAGGGGTCAGCAGATTAGGGCCTGGAGGCCCGGCAGCAAGGGGAGGCGACCCCAGGTCAAGCGTGTTCTGCTGGGACTCCTGGCTTCTGTGGGTGCTGAAGGGCAACCCCACATCGTCCCAGGACCTGGCATGGGCAACCCCTCCGCTGGCCTGACCTGGGCACGGGGGACAGCAGGTAGGGACGCATTCAGGGAGCAGCAGGTGCAGCTGCCCCTTCCGAGGGCTGCTAGGGTCCTCCCACTTGGCAAGAGGCCCGCTTGGGGACAGAATTGCTGTCCCTGGGGGCAGTTCCGGGATCCCTGAAGCTCTGGACATCCTGGGATGGCGTACTGACTGTGTCCAGCGGGCGGAGTCCTGGCCTCTGGGGGGGCTGCCCTGCTGCCCTCCTGTAGGGCCAGTGTGGCCTGGGCTGTTTCCAGTGGGAGCTGTATGGTCACTCCCAGCCCCACTGTGCATATGGGCCAGGTAGACTCCACCTTGGGTGATTCCCAGGAAACCAGCAGCCACCAATTGTGCCCATCACCGGGATCAGGAAGACGGTGGGCAGGCCTGCACTGGACGGGGACAGGAGGTGGGGGGAGCAGGCCTGGGGAAGGGGCTCTGTCTTTGCTCCCTCCTGGTGTGGACGCCTCCTGCTGGGTTGGGAGTAGCACAGTGGGTGGGTCACAGGTTGCAGGGGGCTTGTAGCTGGGCAGGGGTGGGGGCCACTGACTCCAGGAAGGAGCTGAGTGGTCCCTACTAGAGATGGGGTGCCAGGTCAGGCACCGGCCCTGCCGCAGACCCTCCTATGCCAGGAAGCCGAGACATGGTGGGGGCCAGGTACTTGTACACATGGTCTCCTGTCACCCACCTGTGACAGTCCCTGCAGGTGCCACATGTGCTGTCCGGCCTGGGCATTGTACATTGCCACCTGCAGGAGTGGGCCTGAGTCCAGTCGGCCACCACCCCTGGCCATCACCCTCCCTGGGGACTCCCAAGCGACCTGCATCCCTGAGACACAGTGGCCGAAGAGGCCCTTCCCAGGTGCTGGCCTGTGCCAGGAGCCTTGGTGGGCACCAGGGACCCCTGGTCGTTGGCCCACACGAAAGGCCCGGAGCATTCCAGAACAGCAGAAGTGTGTTTGGGACCTGGGTGGGTCCCGGCTGGGGTTTCCGGCAGCACCTGACAGGGCATGCAGGGTACAGGGTGGGGTGGTTCTCAGCTTCAGATCCTGCAATCGCTCGATTTCCTGCTGTCCCTGCTCTGCTGGAGGCTGGAAACTGCCTGGCACCTCAGCCATGGCCCCTCCCACCCTGGCCCCTCCCACCCACGGCTCCTACCAGTCCTAACTCCTCCCACCCTGGTTCCTCCTACCCCGGTCCCCTCCCACCGGTGGCTCCTCCCATCATGGCTCCTCCCACACTAGGTTCTTCCCATATATGGTTCCTCCCTCCCAGTCCTAGCTCCTCCCACCGCTGGCTCCTCCCACCGCTGGCTCCTCCCTTCCAGTCCCAGCCCCTCTCACCCATGGCCCCTCCCACCCATGGCTCTTCCCCACCAGGGCCTGGGGGCCCCAGCAGTGCTGAGCAGTGTATGGAGCTGAGGCCTCCTGTGCTCCTGCGCCGCGGCCCGGACCCCCTTTCCCTTGGTGTGCGACGGGGCTGCATGCTCTGTCAGTGACCACCAGGGCCTGCAGTGGGCACCCACTGGCTGCGGTCACTGGGGCCATGACTCACGCCTTGCAGGTCCAGCTCCTGAGGTGGCACGGTCACTGCCTGGGATTACGCTGGGTGTCACCGTCCTCTGGCCAGAGGGTAGGACCTCGAGACCCTCTAGTGCTCTGTGGCCAGGGGCAGGAGGGCTACGGGCACCAAGGATGGTGGGGGACACACCCACGGGCAGATCAGCTTGGCTGGGGCACAGGAAGCCGTGGGGCTTGTCTCATCCTGGCTGTGCTGGAGGAAGGAAGCCCCCAGGTCCGAAGTGGGGACTGGGCAGGCTGGGGTCCCCACGCTCCTCCTGATGTGCTGTGCCCAGCACCCTGGCACCAACCCTGACCCCAGATGCCAGTCTCACCACAAGCCACCCGCGGGGCACCGCAGGCTGTGGCAGGTCGCACTTCTGGGCCTCCATGGCGGGGATTCTGCTTTCTCCTGGCCCCTCAGACAGACCGCTGGGCCCAGGCGGCTGACCAGCACCACTCCGGTCTTCGGGCTCTTGGGGCCTCCAAAGGAGACCGGACCCTGGACAGAGCTTGCCAGGTTGGGGCGTGCTGCCACTGTGGTTCAGTGCCCTGCTCTCGCAACCCCAGCGCTGCGGTGCAGAGCAGGGCCTGGTGCTGGGGAGGGGCCGGAAACTCCTCCTCTCTGCCCCCACCCCCTCTCTGCCCCACCCCCTCTCTGCCCCCACCCCCTTCTCTAACCCCCCACTGCTCCCTCTCTGCCCCACCCCCTTCTCTAACCCCCCACTGCTCCCTCTCTGCCCCCACCCCCTCTCTAACCCCCCACTGCTCCCTCTCTGCCCCACCCCCCTCTCTAACTCCCCACTGCTCCCTCTCTGCCCCCACCCCCTCTCTAACCCCCCACTGCTCCATCTCTGCCCCCACCCCCTCTCTAACCCCCTACTGCTCCCTCTCTGCCCCCACCCCCTTCTCTAACCCCCTACTGCTCCCTCTCTGCCCCACCCCCTCTCTAACCCCCCACTGCTCCCTCTCTGCCCCCACCCCCCTCTCTAACTCCCCACTGCTCCCTCTCTGCCCCCACCCCCTTCTCTAACCCCCACTGTTCCCTCTCTGCCCCCACCCCCCTCTCTAACCCCCCACTGCTCCTGTCTGCCCACCCCCCTCTGCCCCCTCTCCTCCTCTCTGCCCCCACCCCCTCTCTGCCCCCACCCCCTTCTCTAACCCCCCACTGCTCCCTCTCTGCCCCCACCCCCTCTCTAACCCCCCACTGCTCCATCTCTGCCCCCACCCCCCTCTCTAACCCCCCACTGCTCCCTCTCTCTCTGCCCCCACCCCCTTCTCTAACCCCCCACTGCTCCCTCTCTGCCCCCACCCCCCTCTCTAACTCCCCACTGCTCCCTCTCTGCCCCCACCCCCCTCTCTAACTCCCCACTGCTCCCTCTCTGCCCCCACCCCCCTCTCTAACCCCCCACTCCCCCTCTCTGCCCCCTCTCTGCCCCCTCTCCCCCTCTCTGCCCCCACTCCTCTCTGCCCCCACTCCTCCTCTCTGCCCCCACCCCATCTCTGCCCCCACCCCCTCGCTGCTCCCACTCCTCCTCCTCCTGACTCCCCTGCTTGAGTGCTCAGGACATGGGTGGTCCCGCAGGCCTCCCCCTGTTGGGCCATCGCCCCTGCCTCCGCAGCCTGTGCGCTCAGGGTCTGGCTCTGTCT